TCCGTGTAAGCGTGTTCTGGTGTCTAATGTAGATTTGCCTTGTCTGTGTAAGCGTGTTCTGGTGTCCAATGTAGATTTGCCTTGTCTGTGTAAGCGTGTTCTGGTGTCCAATGTAGATTTGCCTTGACTGTGTAAGCGTGTTCTTGCGTCCAATGTAGATTTGCCGTGTCCGTGTAAGGATGTTCTGGCGTCCAATGTAGACTTGCCTTGTCTGTGTAAGGATTTGCTTCTTCATCCTGGTTAGTGGGAAGATAATTTTGCTATTATTCTTACTTATAATTATTTGTTATATACACATATAATTTTCACCATATTTCTCTTGAAATGCAGTCCAACCCACTCCTAATGTCTAAGATACGTTTTTTCATTCTCATTAGTTCTCTATTTTGAGATTTTTTTTTTTTTTTGCATTTCCTGTCCAACTCAATCCATGATGTGTAAGATAATTTATTTCATTCTCATGTGTTCTCTATTTTGAGATTTTTTTTAATTTTGCATTTCCTCTCCAACTCACACCTAATGTCTAAGATAAGTTATTAAATTCTCATTTATTCTCTGTTTTGTGATTTCTTTGTTTGTTGTTGTTGTTGTTATGTTGAGGGATTCCAGCCGAAGAGTTTATTGTTTTGGTCCATAATAATGATGCATTCATTTATTTTATTTCACGTATTTGTATACATTTTATATTTATTAGTGAACTCTCGGTATAAATAGATCCCATAACCATTCTGAATTTAAATTGTCTATGAATTGTTTCCTTTCAAAGCGTAAGGGGTTGGGTTGGGGGGGGGATGGATAAAAATCGACTGATTAAACATAATTTGGGTAATTGCTAAAACATTTCCCCACCGCTGAGGGAAAACATATTTTTGTTTAAAAAAAATAATAATTCTGCATTAAAAAAAAAATTATTATTTATGGAAAGGATGTGTATGGGGGGGTGAAAGGAAAAAAAAGGGGCTGAGGGCTTTGGATATTGTATTCTTTCATTACAGAGCTTAGATCTACTGTTTTTTTTGTTTTTGTTTTTAAGACTTTCCATATTTGTATTTACTTGCCAAATAAAAAGAAATAAAAAATAGGTTTCTTATATAAGTATCTCTTCAATTCTATTTTATTCTATGAAATCGATTCTTTTCTTTTCTTCTCCTTTTATTTATTTTTTTTTTCTAAACTCTGTTTTTTTATTGAAAATATTTTAATCTTTTCCTGTTGTTTTTTCTCTCTATTCTCCTTTTTCTTCACTGCCATGTCACATGAAAATAAACTATGCAACACAGCAATGAATAAACGGGTTAGTTTTCAGCTGTTCTTTGTAATTAAAACCATTCCCAAAATCACTGAAGTAATGATCCTAAGTGCGAGACACACTAGAAATGAAATGAACTTAAGTCAGAGCATTAATCTCCCCTCCACTTTACACGTATGCCTGGAATAGATTGAGAATTTTGTGAGAGAAACTGTGTCAAACGGCGTTACAACTAATGAAGACGGCGCCCTAATCAGTTTTTGTAGTTTTCGGGGGGGGGGGAAGGGGGGTCGGGGTGCGGCCCGGGGGGGTGGAGGATGAAGGGGGGGGGGGGGGGGGGGGGGGGTGGGGGGGGCGGCCGGGGGGGGTGGAGGAGGAACCCGATATTAGCACCGAGAACACAATCCAGCAAAGTAAGACTGACGGGAAGACTGTTAAGCTCCCCGCGTCAGTGGCGACCAACACTCTGGCCCTGGTGGTGTTAGATGGAATGAGACGCGTGGCCAGATTCAAGTGTGTTGACCTTATCTAGTGGACAAGAGTACATTGTGGTCAGTTCTGATAATAAGCCGTGGCTCTTTAGCACGCTCCTGGTGGTGAAGGGAAAAGTAACATCGCTCCAGACAAGGTTTGAAAAATAGCGCACACAGGGGGCGGCTTGTCAAGAAAAAAAAAATAGCATGGGGGGGGGGGGTTGGGTGTAAAAGTCCTGCACTACCCTTCCCTAAAATCAGTGGTGCTCAACCTTAATAATGCGTGCGACCCTTTAAATACAGTTCTTCATGTTATGGTGCCCCCTAACCATAAAATTAAAGGTTTGAAAAATAGCGCACACAGGGGGCGGCTTGTCAAGAAAAAAAAAATAGCATGGGGGGGGGGGGTTGGGTGTAAAAGTCCTGCACTACGCTTCCCTAAAATCAGTGGTGCTCAACCTTAATAATGCGTGCGACCCTTTAAATACAGTTCTTCATGTTATGGTGACCCCTAACCATAAAATTATTTTCGTTGCTACTCCGTAACTGTAGAGTATATGTGTTTTCCGATGGTCTTAGGCGACCTCTGTGAAGGGGTGGTTCGACCCCTAGGGCCGTCGCGACCCACAGGTTGAACCGCTGGTTTAAATAAATATAAAAAAAGGTAAGATTTAAAAAATTTAAATGGCCTACATCAGCCACTAATCAGTTATATCCTTGAGTTGTTATTAAGCAATAACATTAAGAATATTAAGAGTCAAATAATAGAAATCTATTGATTTGATGTGTTTGATGATTAAAAAACAAACAAACAAACAAACTAAAAAAAGCCCCAACAGTGTTTTAACGGACCGTGACGCTGAAAGAAAACCCAATTTCTGACAAGAAATCTGAAGTAGCTAAGCAGCTTAGAAAATTTTAAGAGCAAAATGGGAAAGTCCAAAAGCCTATTCCAAAAAAAAAAAGAAAAAAAAAAAAAAAAAACCCAAAAAAAAAAAAAAAAAACAAAAAAAAAATAAAAAAAGAAAACCCAATTTCTGACAAGAAATCTGAAGTAGCTAAGAAGCTTAGAAAATTTTAAGAGCAAAAAGGGAAAGTCCAAAAGCCTAATCCAAAAAAAAAAAGAAAAAAAAAAAGAAAAAACCCCAAAAAACAACATGCAGATCGATAAAATATTATTATTACTATTATGAAATTTATTTACTGAAATAACTAAGAGAGATAGATTGAGAGAGCGAGAGGGGGATAGAGAGGGAGAGAGACAGAGGTAGAGAGAGAGGGGCGATAAAGGGACAGAAAGTTTGTGTGTGTGTGAGAGAGAGAGAGAGAGAGAGAGAAGAGAGAGAGAGAGCGAGAGAGTACAGTGTGATATTAAACTACAAGATGGAAAGGTTGAAAGGCTAGCTACTGGAAGCCAAGAAGTTATGCTGAAAACAGCTCGGGCGTTTTGTTGCCCTAGATAAGGGGTAACGATCAGAGCTTAAAACAGAGACCGGCCACTTCCGAGGGTTTCGAAGGGGCCAGAGCTTTCGCAGTCACCACGGCCTGATCACTTCGGAGCAGGGTTGTCAGGCTGTCGTTTGACCGCTTGGGTCACTGTGATTGATTGAGTTACAGGTTGGACACTTGACGAGAAAAATTCCCTGAAACACTCAGGGATTCTCAAAGTTTTCTGTACTTTTAGCTTTTAAATGGACAGTATTGAAGGCGCTACATTGTCATACCCAGCCCACACACTCTCCGAAAAATAAAAACTATAATACTTTTTAAAATGTGCAATCTTATTGCTACAAATATTCGAAATCCACAAAATGTATCTCTAAATTAGTTATTTTATCTTTTACTTAAACCACTAATTTGCCTGCTAAATAAGATTATATAAGTGAAAGATGCACAAGAGCAACGACATAAAAATTCCAGGTTAATTCTTGGATATTTAAAATTGCCAAAAAGTGGCCATTTTTAAAAAAAATTTTTTTATTTTTTTAAAGCTAGTTCAAATCAAAGTATACAAATTCTAATAAAAGACATAAAAAGGGTAGATGATGATTTTTTTCCATTTTTTTGTTGCTGTTAAAATATTAGAATACATCGCAAATATGCTTAATCTTATTAAAGTTTTCGCAATAGAAAGAATCTCAAAATACAAATTACAGTGTTAAAAAAATAAAATATCACATATTGAAATGTTTGTGGGAAGAAACAAGAAAAATATGGAAAAAAAAAACAATGCCCGATTGCAATGTCGAAATCCCTTTAAAATCCTCTTTTGTGGAAAACTGGGATTACGACATAAAATGCATGCTCTGTGGTCTATTGATCTGGTCTTTCGATGTCGTCTATTGATCTTGTCCATCGATGTTATCTTTTGATGAGGTCTATCAATGTGGTCTACTGATCTGGTCGATCGATGTAATCTATTGATGTGGTCTATCAATGTGGTCTATTGATCTTGTCTATCGATGTAATCTATGGAGGAGTTCTATCAATGTGTCTGATCTGATCTGGTCTATCGATGTGGTCTATCGATGAGGTCTACCGACGTGGTCTATCGATGAGGTCTACCGACGTGGTCTATAGATGAGGTCTACCGACGTGGTCTATCGATGAGGTCTACTGACGTGGTCTATCGATGAGGTCTTCCGACGTGGTCTATTGATGAGGTCTACCAACGTGGTCTATCGATGAGGTCTACCGACGTGGTCTATTGATTAGGTCTTCGGCGTGGTCTATTGATGGACACGATAATGGTTAGGGGATAAAGCAGTGACGCCAGCTTGAAACGCTGGAACGAGATGTTAACGAATTGAAGAAGTGACAAAAAATAGAAACATTAACAAAATAAAGAACAATGAAAATAGTGCTGTTGCTTACCGGGTCTGCCAAGTCAGAACACTTCTTACTATTGGAGCTCTTAATCCGACTAATCTTATGTGTAGACCTCTTCAAACAGCTCTTAATCTGATCAATCTCATGGTAACACATCTTCATCGACGGGTATTCAGTCTGAGCGTTAACCTATCTGGGTAGCCTGTAAGGTGTGCTCTATTTGATCAGCAGTGCATCAGGTGACATACGATTCTTATGTAGATGTTACACCCGCGCAAAGTTAGTCTTCTAATTTAGTGATCATGACGTAACAGTCAACGCAGTTATCATTTTTTTAGCATGTGTGTAATTGATTGACCATTTGTATTCTTTTCATTCTCCACCCGTAGCGCCTTCCAAGACAAAGAACACACCATGACTACAAAGCCTTCTCCCTGACCAGAAGGACATGGGCCCTGATTTGGGCTTAAATGCCATAGTTTTCATATCGTGCTCTGCGTATCTTGTCTGTTCTGGACCAGGTAAGTAGCTTCCAGATATTTTTTTCCGACAGCATTCTTTGCATTGATTCGCATTTGATTTCATTCATCGTCACACTGTATGAAAAAAAGGGATGCTCCCCAATAGGGCACTTACAATTAACAAAATGGGATACATAGATTCATTTACACTAGTAACTATAGTTTTATAATAATAAAGAGTTTTAAAAAATCCGTCCCATTCAAGATAAGGGCTACTTATTAGGGAAAAGGATCCATAACCAAAAACACCACCAAACATCAACAACAAAAACAACAACAACATCAACAATAACAACGCGATAGTCCATAAAATTTAAATAATAAATTCATTCCTTCTTCTTCATCTATATGTTGAGGGTCCACGATCAATGGAATGATTTCATTCTAACTCCTATTTATGTAGAAGAGGTTCGCGATGTTTCTGCCCTTGGTTTTGAAGAGGATACTTCACTAGTTGCACTGGTCACCAATGGCGAGTTTGACCACTTATATCTATGGAGTTAATGTAAAGTGTTTCATTGTGACAAAGTGTTAAGAACAAAAGTCGGACGAATCTGGCCCTGCTGTTTAAAACTTTGTTTTTATTTAATTTTCTGATTACTTAAATGTCGGTGTTCAGTACTTCTGTTTTTAAGCAGTTATTTTGGAATTATATCTTAATGCTATGGAAGAGTTTAAACAGCTTTAATAAGTCTTAATGCTATGGAAGAGTTTTGAACAGCTTTAATAAGTCTTAATGCTATGGAAGAGTTTGAACAGCTTTAATAAGTATTAATGCTATGCAAGAGTTTAAACAGCTTTAATAAGTCTTAATGCTATGGAAGAGTTTGAAAAACTTAAATAAGTCTTAATGCTATGCAAGAGTTTGAACAACTTTAATAAGTCTCAATGCTTTGCAAGAGTTTGAACAGCTTTAATAAGTCTTAATGCTATGCAAGAGTTTGAACAGCTTTAATAAGTCTTAATGATATGCAATAGTTTGAACAACTTTAATAAGTCTTAATGATATGGAAGAGTTTGAACAACTTTAATAAGTCTCAATGCTATGCAAGAGTTTGAACAGCTTTAATAAGTCTTAATGCTATCCAAGAGTTTGAACAGCTTTAATAAGTCTTAATGATATGCAATAGTTTGAACAGCTTTAATAAGTCTTAATGCTATGGAAGAGTTTGAACAGCTTTAATAAGTCTTAATGCTATGAAAGAGTTTGAACAGCTTTCTTTTCATAAAGCCATGTATTATTTTTTCTCAGATGTCTGGTAACTAAATAACTTTAGTTGAATGAAGAATGTATGAAAGCTTTTCTATTGTAAGCAATTTTGTTTTACAAAATTCAGCTCATATTCTAAATGTTAAAAATCCAGAGAAAACATATCTTAATTTCATTACATTTCGTGAATAAATTTCATTTAAATAATTTCACTTTAAAAAGCTTTTGTCATATTTTATGTAATAAAAAAATAAAATAACATCTAATATTGCTTAAGATAGAGGTTGGAAACAATTTTCCTTGTTAAATTAATTAATTGTGTATAGAGATAAAATGTGGTTCCAAATGATGCTCATTTGTTTAGGGTATCATAGCATCATCATCTGTTTTGGGGTTCATAGCTTTAAAAAATAATTAAACTGTTTTGAACATGTCCAGTAGTTTTTTTGTTTTTTTTACTTTCCCTCTAAACAGAAAAACAACAAGAACATTTTCTTAATAAATTATTTACAAGAGCATCAACCCCGCCCTCTGCTCCCTACCCCCCCCCCTCTTCTCTTGCCTTTCAACTCTAACTCTGCCGTCTCAGATGACATTCCCACCTCTTCCCTTGCCTTCCAACCCTAACCCACCGTCTCAGATGACATTTCCACCTCTTTACTTGCCTTCCAGCCCTAACCCACCGTCTCAGATGACATTCCCACATCTTCCCTTGCCTTTCAACTCTAACCCACCGTCTCAGATGACATTGCCACCTCTTCCCTTGCCTTTCAACTGTAACCCACCGTCTCAGATGACATTGCCACCTCTTCCCTTGCCTTTCAATCCTAACCCACCAACTCAGATGACATTCCCCCCTCTTCCCTTGCCTTTCAACCCTAACCCACCATCTCAGATGACATTCCCCCCTCTTCCCTTGCCTTTCAACCCTAACCCACCGCCTCAGATGACATTCCCATCTCTTCCCTTGCCTTTCAACTCTAACCCACCGTCTCAGATGACATTGCCACCTCTTGCCTTGCCTTTCAACTCTAACCCACCGTCTCAGATGACATCCCCACCTCTTCCCTTGCCTTTCAACTCTAACCCACCGTCTCAGATGACATTCCCACCTCTTCCCTTGCCTTTCAAACCTATCCCCACCGCCTCACACGTCAATCCCACCTCTTTCCCCTTCCCTTCCATACCACCTCCCATTCTACAACGCCGAGGATCCCTGGGACCATTTCCTCAAAGACTCTAACACATTAGCGCTTTAAACCCTACGATTATGATAATATACACGTTTTGAGCATCTTTGAGCACATTTTAAGTTTGCGTGTTTAAAAGAGCTGCCCCATTTAAGGTTCTGGAGTACTCAGCATTTCCTTTGATATTAGCGATGGTTATAAGGGACATACTTTCTAAATCTAGGACACACGTTTTCATCTTAGGCTTTTTTTTGTTGAATATGCGGCTCGATCACGTATTAAGGAAAATAACTGTATGATAACGAAAAGAAGAAGAAAACAACAACATATCTATAAATGTGTTAAAATCCATAAGGAATTAATTTGATTGACTAGTAATTATAAAAATGTTGAAATGGCTACTTAAAATAGAGATGTAGTCGATGGCCTGTAAATCGAGTGGCACTTTAGTCCAATGTTTGATTGGTGAATTAATTAGGAGTTTTTGTTTTATTTTGTTTATTTTTTTTAAATATCCATTTTTTGGCGAAGCACATGTAAACGGACATATTCAGATGACTGATTTGAAAGTTGATTGATACATGAGAAGGAGATTTAAGAAATTAATAAGCGTTAATTTATTAACGGTCAACAAATAATGAAGTTAAAGGATATTAACATTTAAAGGTATTGACTGAGTTGGAAAAAAAAAATGTTTAAGAGCACTTTTTGAAGAGAGGAAATGGGGGCGTCTTAAAGTATGATTAAAGAAGTAATATTTATTTTTGAACTACACACACTTATGTTGTTTACTCATAAGATCCTTACACGCGATTAAATACATACGCAAAAAAAAAAGAACATCCGTTTTCCGAAGAAGTGCGGTTTCATGAACACAATCTAATGGTCTCGAAATGTTAGGCCATGTGTCTGAGTGCTTTGCTGCTTTAACACGCATACTTCGCTTTCTTACGCTTTGTAAGCCCAGTGAACATCAGTCGATAGCAGGACCGCTGCACGGTCGGGGGGAAAGCCGCCCCCCCCCCTCCAAGGCTGATGAAGGAAGATGATAGCCGAGCCAGGGCTCATCGACCGGTGTCAACCACTGTAGAAATGTTCTGACCGGCTCATCCAGCCCCAGGCAACCCGGGCTATTTGTTGGCGTCATCAAGGTCACTTATCAAAGCCCAAGTACCTGGCAGAAAAGGTGTGGGTGGGGGGGGTGTGGGTGTTGTTTAGATCTGTGTATTAGGGTAATAGCGGGTTGTGATCAATGAGAACACTTTTGACCAACTAACGATTCGGAAACGGAATTTAATTATACATAGTTTTAATCTTCTATAAGGTCCGAACGTCAGCAATGGGGAGGTAGCACACACACAAAAATCCATGGGGAAATGGATCTGGGGCTGTGAAAATGGGACGGTGGAGATGAAAGTGGGGAAGTGGAACTGGGATTATGGGACGGTGGACATGGAACTGGGCAAATGGAACTGGGGATTGGGACTGGACGAGGGAACAACTGAAAATTCAATATTCCAAAACTGTAATCAATCGATACCATAAAAAATAACTAATTTACATATTTTTCTGTTTTGATGTGTACGGGAGGCGACTACAAAACGTATTTTTGATTGCTGCTGCTTTTTGTAATATTTCACGTAACAATCTTTGTATACATGGTGGACACACATAGAGATATAAACGAACAATAATAAACATAATAATTGGTGGTTACTTACTGTGTCTACAAGATAAAAATAAAAACCCTCCTCAACCCAATCTCCCCAGAACTATAACAAACAAACAAAAAGAAAAACAGAAAAAAATCACAACATTAATCAGGCCCTAAATATAAATAAGTACAAAATAAACTGAATTGGATGTTCATTGCACTGGTTTTTATGAGACATAATGAAATGTATGATTTATTAAAAAAAAAAGATAGAATATATTTAATGTTGAGTGCTTATGCTAGAGCTAAATGAAAACAATCTCCGAGGACCGATATCCCATTTCCACCACCACGTTCCTAAAAGTCATATCCGAAGTCTATTCTATAGCGCCACGGCCGCAATAAATCCATCAGCTCACACAAACAGAGGACCGCCAAGTCTCTGACAGACGCGGCCATAAATTGGTTTAGCCAACACATTTTGTAGATGATTTGATTAGGTTGACAGTCGAAATAAGTGGCTTGATCAGGGGCCGGGTTAAGTGTATATGCTTGAGAGGCACAGCTGATGTCAGGGGGAGCTTAGAATGGGAAGAGCAAACAGGGACGTCGTCTTAGGGGGAGGGGAAACGGGGCTTGGAGGGCAGTTGCTGCGAGCACGTCTTATTTGCAGAAATATTTATTAACTGGAGATGTCTGTTTTGTGTGTGTATATATTTTCTCGTGGGCCAGAATCTTTATCAGTACGAAACCAAACTAATAAGAAAAACCATTTTTAAACGGAATGACAAAAATCTTATGGGGATCGTTTTCATAATGATTTAACTGGGATTAAAAAAAAAAAAAAAATAAAAAAAAAACAATACTAAAAATAAAAACTTTATCAGTACGAAACCAAACTAATAAGAAAAACCATTTTTAAACGGAATGACAAAAATCTTATGGGGATCGTTTTCATAATGATTTAACTGGGATTAAAAAAAAAAAAAAAATGAAGAACTCACAGTGCTAAAAATTAAATGTTTTGTATCCATAAACTAATTTCCCTCTTGCATTCTCATCATGTAATACAAATAACACGAAGCATGTTTCCTGTGGAATCTGTTATTTAATGCTGATGACAAAAACGTTTAATTTGGTAAAATGCTTGTAATAAAATGAAACAGTCCCGAGTGGACCCAGATAACGCAATCATTCTCTTATTTAAAAGCACACAATCATTACAAACTTATTATAGATTAAAATATTTAAACATTAAAAAATAAAAATTCAATCACTTCCCTATCATCATACATGTTCAACTTATGTTAACGAACAGAAGGTTCTAAAACAAGCTGGGTGCAAGCTCAAAAAGGGGCAAAAAAAAAAAAACCCATCACAATTCAAATTTACGTTTCGGTTATATGCCTTCTTTAGCAGACAAAACAAGGAACAACAATAAATAAAGAAAATAAAAAAAGAAAAAAAAAAAAAAAAAAAAAAAAAAAAAAAAAAAAAAAAAAAAAAAAAATATATATATATATATATATATATATATATATATATATATATATATATATATATATATATATTCTTTTCATTTATAAATATTTACACTAATCAGTGCTATGTCAAGTTATTTGACGTTTACAGGTAGAATTATAATAAAAAGAAATTAATTTTGCTTAATTTCTCCTTTCTGAATATGTCATTATCAAATAGACAGTACCACAACACCCCACACTGATCCACCTCCAACCTCACCTCTACTCCCTTGTGTGCAGTTCCAACACGTTTCCCACTGATCACCCCACCCCTCCTCTACTCCCTTGTGTGCAGTCACATAACATGTCCCACTGATCCACCTCCAACTCCACCACTACTCCCTTGTGTGCAGTCCCACAACATGTCCCACTTATCCACCCCCAGCCCCACCACTACTCCCTTGTATGCAGTCCCACAACATGTCCCACTTATCCACCCCCAACCCCACCACTACTCCCTTGTGTGCAGTCCCACAACATGTCCCACTTATCCACCCCCAACCCCACCACTACTCTCTTGTATGCAGAACTGAATACATTACGAAGCTAAACGGGATCTTCAATCCAAATAGCAATCCATTTTTTTTTTATTTTCCATCTCTCTCCGAGAACCTGTAATCATTGTTGTAATTACTCTGGTCGTCGCTTAACTGGGGTCAAAAGAAAACACTAACATCTGCCACGGTTTAAATTAACATGCAGTTTAACAGATGTGACGTCTTTCCCAAAACCTCTTTGTATGGAGATGTGATGCATGTCATGAATACATTTACCACAGTTTTCTCATTCACTTACAACATTACATTTACCGTAGTTTTTTCATTCGCTTATAACATTACATTCACCAGTTTTCTCATTCACTTACAACATTACATTCACCAGTTTTCTCATTCACTTACAACATTACATTTACCAGTTTGTTTATTCAATTATAACCATTAAATGTACCACAGTTTTCTCATTTACTTACATACTTTTTTTTCCATATTCCTTTTTTTTATCTTTATCTTTTTCATGACATTTACAGTTTTTTCCTCTCACTCACTTCTTTCGTGTTATTTAACAAATCTTATAAAGATAAACATTTTACTTTTTAAAAAAATAATCACTCTGTAATAATAACTTCCAAGTTGATCTTGTCCGCCCCGCTCTCATTGCGCACCGGGATGCTCTCTCATTTGCTGCTTCCCCCGTCGGGCTATATGATAACTTAACGGTTTATTACGACTCTATGATAACGCAGTGTCATGTTAGGAGCTTGTAGACAGCTAACATCAAACGAAACCCTCAAAAAACAAAAGGGACTACGCCTCTGCGGAACGGAGAAAAACAATAAAGGTGTTTGAGGTGCAATGAGGTCCTATCAAACTTTAAATAGCTGTCTTCTTTATAGAGCACAATATCAAATATCTATGCATATATGCGTCTGTGTATGTATATATGTATTTCATACATTGAAAATACCAACGCCTTGAAACTACAGCGCGATAATAAAATTGGCATGTCATGTTCCAGAGATCCCTATACGAGGAAATTGAGAAATTTGTGCGATTTAAAAAAAAAAAATCAACACCGCAGCCACAATGACATGAGAAGAACCTGGACATGTGGGAGGTGGCATGTCGAGGCCGAGACATGATCACGTTGATGTGCACAACCCCCCCCCGCCCCCCTTCCCCCACCCTTTCCGGGGTCGTCGGAGTTGTTAAACACAATGATTGGGATTGAAGCGTGTGCATTGCCAAGAGAATAATGTGCTAGGCACGCGCTGATGTGTTTGTTGTTTCCCTGCGTACACCATTGAAGTCCATTCGTTTTCAAACATTAGTTGTTTTTATTTATTTAAAACAGTGGATCCAAAATTGGTGGTGGTTTTGCCCAGAAGAGGGAAAAAGGTGGTGGGGGTGGGGTTGAAAAGCTTCGAAGATTCTAGGGAGCGCTGGGGGGATTACATTAGAAATTTAAAAAAAAAAAATAAATAAACCAAAATTATAAATTTGAAATGATGCTAATGACATATATTTGGTTTTCATTGTTAGTAACAAAGAAGAGCCAGTTTATAGAGATATTTATTGCTGCACACAACGAAGAGAAGAAAAAAAGAGAGTCTTTTATCTATTTTTAAAACAGAGTACATGTACAAAGGTTTTACGCGACTAGAGTAGATGTATAGATTTAGTATCGCGTGTAAGACCTCGTCCTTGTCTGGTCTTGCCTTGTCGTAAATTACTTCGATAAATCAATGGCTGTGTTGTAGAACTTCCTCACGATTTCGAGTGCTAAAATAAAGATTGCCATGTGGCTACTTGCACCCGGAAACCAGAAGTGAGAGGTTGGGATTACAATTTTTAAAAATTTTATTGTTGGGTTTGTAAGACAAAATGCGGTATCAAATGAAAGATAGTTAAATGGACTATATATTTATAAACTTAATTCTTTAGTTTAACTAAAATAAACTACCACAAATGACATCTGAATAGCACTGAGTCAAAATGGACCCAGTCACGCAGCGCCGCCATTCGCACTCGGGTACCATTAGACTCAAAGGGAGATCACAAATGCCATGATAATCACATATACAATCATAGATCACAAATAAAATGGGAGATCACAAATACAATGGGGGATCACAAATACACTAGGAGATAACAAATACAATGGGAGATAACAAATACAATGGGAGATCACAAATACAGTGGGAGAACATAAATACAATGGGAGATCATAAATGCAATGGGAGATCACAAACGAAGTGTGAGATCACAAATACAGTCCTAGTCACAAATACAGTCTGAGTCACAAATGCAATGTGACATGACTAATTAATTTAATAAGAAATTGGATGTTCGTGCACATAGATTTTATTTTAGGCTCCGAGTTAGATAGCTTCAGCCTCAAAGTCTCAGTAAATTCGCATTCAGCTGAATTTGAAGATGGAAACGGTGACAATAGCTGTCTCGTACGTTTAGTAAAATTACGGTACTTGATTTCCGTTTCCCTACAAAGACATGTCATCACTCCATTGATATTTAAAAAAAGTATTAACAGACTGATCATTTTGCAATTCTGCAATTCTTCTTGATATTGCATGTTTAATATGTTTGGACGGCGGAGCATCAAATAATAAAAATGTAAACGGCGACATCTTTGTCAACTTCCATGTCCGTCCGATGTTTATCATATAAAATTTGAACAATTATCTTGAATATTTAAATGCATGCTTTTTATAGAGCTCTTATCTGAGGGATAAATGCATGGGTCCCTTTTTGAATGTGTTCCTTTCGAGGATCCTAATTTATTTAAATTGATAAATTGCCAGAGCTTTGATATTCGTGAATATGTTTTTTTTAATGAGACATCTTAAAAAAGTGCCTTTGGTCTTTAAATCATATTTTTAAAAAAAATCTTGTTCCATTCAAATGTAAAAGAATTTTATAAACTGGATTTTTTTCCAATAAATGTTTAACTATTTTGATTGGAATGTCGGCTAAGTGATTCTGACAGGGTCCTAAACTGACGCAAACTCTAATTGCCATGTAGTAAAATCTTTCGTTTGCAAACCCGAGAATCTCCGGGTATGTCGGCTAGTATGATATATTGTTATCATTGACAGAATGATTTGTTCAGCAAATTTCAATGTTAACAAGTTTAGGACCATTGCTCAACATCGCGAATAGTTGCAAGAATGTCATTATTGATATTTTGACAATAGAAGTGACAGTAATTTCATTTCCGTACGGCCAATTTTCATGTAGACCATGTCAAGTAGTTTATCTTATTTGCCCAGCGAAGAGAATTATGTGGTTTTTAAAAAAAAAATCATTACAGCTGAATCAAGATGGTTTTCAAGTTAGGCACAAAAAGCGTTATTTTTATATCCTGTCTTTCTGTCTTTTAAAATTATTCCATTTTCAAATAATTAGTATTTGATGATAAAATAATATTACAAACTGTTTTTATTAGTTCCGCCGGAACACATTAATTAATGTATTACTCTCCAGGCAAACCCTTAAATAATTTAATGTTATGTGACTGTAATTTAATAGATCTTTACGATATTGAAATAATGTAGTGACCCCCAAATGTTACGAACTGCTTATAGGGTATAAGCAGCTCAGTGGCTTCATCACGTCTAGGGGCAGTTATTAAACAAAACAATGATCTATATGACACATGGTTCTTTTAATTAAAAAAAGAGCGTGTCTTCTTTCACCCTCACTCTCTCTCTCTCTCTCTCTCTCTCTCTCTCTCTCTGCAACTCCAATACCACTACTAACCATAACAACCAGCAACGTCAACACCTATACCCAAATACGTCACGAATACAAAGCGCATAGCAACAACTACACAGATACTCTCTACACCAAAACACGCAGCCACAAAACACGAGCAAAACATTAACATATAATACTGTATGGCAGTTTGGAAAGTCACACCTTTATGGCGAATTGGTCTTGTTGAAATTTGTATGATAATTCACTTAAAATAATGAAACTTTATAAACTTATGCACTTATTGTATTTATTTACATGTGGTAAATTAATAATTTATTCCCACTTACATTTAATCTTCCATATTTTTTTAAATGTTGAACATTATTAAAAATGTTCTTTTATTAAAACACACCAAAAAAAAAAAGATAAAAAACTGTATTTTAGTTATCAAAGGATCAGTAGAGAAGACCCTCATCAGAGACTTACTTACAAGATACGACATAGTAGGCAAGCCTGGGCGGCCTGTGGTCCACCCCACGGACACGATCATGGTCAACTTTAGTTTGTCACTCATACAAATACTGGACGTGGATGAGAAGAACCAGGTCCTAAAGACAAACATTTGGTATCATTACGTAAGTATAAATGGTTGTATTATTTATTAGATATATATATGCTGCCCTCTCGGATATTATTTCTCAGCTAAGTACTCTTTTAAAAAAGTATTCTGTTTTTTTCTGTTGTTTGATCGCTGACGAAGGCTTCCTGCCGACATGTGCGTTGTTTTGTTGCGTTACTTTTTCTGATTTGACCATACTTTGTTTTAACCCTTTCCTTTTTTTGTAATACATAAAATATAACCTATAACGGCACTTGATACACGATGCTTGAGCTTTAACTATACTTTAATTACTTGACATTTCAAACACTGCGAGGTGAATCACTAAATATTTTTTTTTTCCTTTAAAAAGAAAATCTATTTAATTACATTAAAAAAAAAACTGACATTATTGACGTTCCTAAGTTTGATTATCTTTGAAATGACAAACAATTTTTTCCCCCTCACCATTCTCTAGCGATGGCGTGACATTCTTCTGCAGTGGCATCCACATCTCCATGACAACATTACCAGCGTCCGCGTGCCTTCTGATAAAATCTGGTTACCTGACATACTGCTCTATAATTTGTAAGTACAGCAAAGTGCCAAATCCAGCAATTTCGACTTAACAACGCCAATACATAACTAGAGTAGGCATTCACATTAACTATTTGGCAACAGTGTTTTTTTTTAATTTTTTTTTTTTTCATCAAGTCATATTTTCTTATCATGAATCACATTTTCTTATCATCATTCATAGTTTCTTGCCATGAGTCATATTTCCTTATCATCAGTTTTACTTTCTTATCATCAATTATGTTTTTTTTTTCCAAATGAGCCTCAGCCACGTTTACTTTTCTTTGTTAATTAAGTTCTCCAGAAGTCCTCTATCACACACGATTTGCAACCAAAAACAAAAACAAAAAAAAGAATTAAAAAATCTTAATCAGAAATGTGTTTTCCTGTCACCGTGCAACTTCAAGAGACGATAGTTGAATTTCGCTGGAGACATTTCTTACGATACCCTGAAGTCTCTTTGTATGGAGAGTCGGCTGTTTCCCCTTTAGTAGCTACACCCCCCGCCCCCGACTCACCCCGCTGATAATTTTAAAAAAAAAAAATTGCGAATTTGAGATAGTCGATCAGCCTGACACAAGCGTCGTCACGATATGCCTGGAATGTTCATTGATTACAAATGTCATACCGGCCAAGGCCTCAAGCTCTTGATTTTTCTTTTTTTTTTCTCTCGTAGCTCATAACAATATTGTTTACACCCGCAAGGCAGCTTCGTGTGGAGTTGAATTTTTCCTTATCGGGGATAAAACTCAATCCAATTTTAATGAGTCCCATCTGGAAGTGTATTGTTTGTATTCCAGCACATGTCTTGATGTAGATATACAGTATCACACACATGCTGGCTGGTCGTCTACGGCATCCTGATCTATATCTAGTCGTCTTGAATAAATCTTGTCATTGGATCGAGCAGGCAATGACGAGAAGGTGAGGCTGACGAACTGACCAACTCTCCCCCAATTTAAACAAAATACAGCTCAGTTCCAGCCTACTAATCAATTCAAAGCATCGCCTTGGTCATCAGCGTATGCGAAGGACGAGCAACACATATACCTCATCATACACCAAACCAAGCCAGCCCATATTACTGACGATGTATGAAAAGTTTTCACTTCAATTTCAGCAAATTTTAAAATTCACCTGGGATGCAAAACGAATGTTTTTACTAGAAGTATTTTTAAAAAAATACCATTGAACTGCTCTTGTGAAGACATTTTTGTGGTAAAAACTCTTTGTTGTTGTCTGGACGGTGTACATTTAATGCGTCCATCAATGGCAAAAGAAAAATGAGCAGCATTCCAGAATAATATGATCTACAATTAAAAATTGATTTTTTTCCCCCTCTGGGTTATCTTATATCCATTGAGGATACAACATCCAGGAAAGTAATACGTCATGATGATCTAAAGAAAGAGGACATAGCGTGAAATCTAAATAATTGAACACATTAGTGTAACGGCAAATCAGTATAATTTTAAGCTCATGACATTCCAGATTTTAATTAGTGCTAGACGTAAAAATTTTTAATATTACTTAAATTTTGTATTGTGATTTGGCTTAATAAGCATTACAGGATGCTAAGACTCGTCGTTTTAAAAAGATACGCCATCATAACCAAGTACCTCCTACAAGCTGCTACAAGAAAAACGGTTTCTGTCAGATGACAACCAATGGAAACCTTCTACGTCCACCTGGGACTAAACTTGACGGGTTGCGGCAACGACATAGCTCTAATCATTTCTGCTTCTTCAAGCTTAAATATTTAATTTGCTTTGGGCCTTTATCCATTTCTCGTGTTCCATGGTTAAAGTTTAAAGAGGGCTGTAGAAGAAAAAAATGTTGACCTTATTTCAGAAGCGTATTCTCAAAATCTTCAAGTCAAACATAAATTAAATTTCCAACAGCTTTATATCGTTGTGCTGTGTGTAAGGCCGAATGTGTTCTAGACTCTGTTATATAACAGACGGGATTGCAAAGAAACCTTACATACTTTACCTTAGCACTGACATACACAAATTGCTTTTATGACATTTAGAAGAAAATAACAGAAACAGACGAAATACCATCATTGAAATCCTACATAAATAAGTATGTATATTTCAAAAGCCTTCAACAATTTTTTAAATAACACCCACACACAAAAAAAAAAGCTTTTGCACCCTGAGATTTTTACACTATATTTACGGTGCTTGATTACCACATTTAAAAATGTATTTAAATGTCCCAACTTGACACTTTCTGACACAATCTGAAAAGCTCGTGCATTAATTTCAAACCTTAACATTGCTTAAAATTTGTTTTTCGAACTTCGTTCACACCGTATTTAAAAAGATATACACAAGGAAAAAAACGACGCAACAATCAACTGATACCAAAGGGCTACAGTATATCTCGGCAGATCTCGTTACCCCCGGGCCGCGATCTTGACACGCCAGTTTCCGCGCTTAATCCGGGCAACTCGTCAAGTTGGTCCTGGCTTTCCAATGAGGGTTGTCCAAGGGCCGTGTTACGGATAGCCCAACTTTCTCTCTCCTCCCCCCCCCCCCAAACCAACTGTTTTATCCAACTAACTGACCTTTAATTCCCCCCGGGCCGCGATCTTGACCCGCCCGTTTCCGCGCTTAATCCGGGCAACTCGTCAAGTTGGTCCTGGCTTTCCAATGAGGGTTGTCCAAGGGCCGTGTTACGGATAGCCCAACTTTCTCTCTCCCCCCCCCCCCCCCAAACCAACTGTTTTATCCAACTAACTGACCTTTAGAATGAATTTCTCTTATCCGCTCTACGGCCAGCGTGGTGTCGCGAATTCGATTAGAAGAAAATGAGTTGGACTATCTCGTCCTTCCCCCCCTGGCCCCGCAGTCACTGTAATGTACAAACACAGGCTTGAGACATCCCGGCCGTCTTGTATTGACAAAACAGAATTACTTTTCTCACAGAGATTACCCGAAATTAAATCTCTGTTTTCCTGATTTAACAGAAGATTGCGAGGAGAGGTTTTGGGTAAAATTTACTGAAGGTTAGAATGTGTTGAAGGAATATACTTCTAGATCTAGTTAAAATACATACTCACACATCTAAGTTGAATGAAACCATACACAACTATCTCGTATGGTGGCACACTAGATCCTCGTTAACAAGTTTAATTTTCAATTAAAATAACATGTATTTTTAGGTATTGGAAATATAACAATGTTGCCACCTTGCCACCAATTGTAAAAAAAAAATCATTTTTGGTGCAAATTTATGATGGCTTCGAGAAAAAAAAAACATATCAGTGGTACTAAAATGTACCTCAAGTATTTGACAACATGCTATTTCTGGAATGAAATATTTATTTAATCTCCCAATGCAAACAGATCTTTGATGTTGTTGATGCCTTCTGCCACGCACTAATATCAACCGTCCAAAGTAAATTGCTTCTTGAAAAATTGACACAAAGTGAAAAAAAAAAAGTTTTTATTTTCCTCATGAACGTCACCAGATTACATTTAAAGGAAACTCTGGCCTAGACTATTTTCAAGATACGATAGCAACATATCCCATCGTTTCAGTGCAGACGACCGCCTCTCAGAACAACGTGAGGCACTGGTGGTCGTGGAACACACGGGTGACCTGCTGTGGATGCCCCAGGCCATCTTGAACAGCTCGTGCGGGTTCGACACGCTCTTCTTTCCCTTTGATGAGCAGACGTGTCAGCTCAAATTCGGCTCCTGGACCTACAATGGCAACATGCTGGATATTGATTTCATAGGTAACTAGGATAATGCGTTAGATATTGATTTCATAGTAACCGCTTCAACATGCTAGATATTAGTGTCATCTGTAGACAGCACACAATGCTCTATGTTGATTTCATAGGTAAATTCTTAAACATGCTAGATATTGATGTCCTCTGTAGACAGTACACAATGCTCTATGTTGATTTCATAAGTAAATGCTTAAACATGCTAGATATTGGTGTCATCTGTAGACAGCACACAATGCTCTATGTTGATTTCATAGGTAAATTCTTAAACATGCTAGATATTGGTGTCCTCTGTAGACAGTACACAATGCTCTATGTTGATTTCATAGGTAAATGCTTAAACATGCTAGATATTGGTGTCCTCTGTAGACAGTACACCATGCTCTATGTTGATTTCATAGGTAAATGCTTAAACATGCTAGATATTTGTGTCATATGTAGCCAAGGAGTACAACGCGGAAGGTATTGATTTCATATGTAGCCAGGTTGTTCAACATGGTAGGTATCGGTTTCATATGTAGCTAATTAGTACACCTTGAAAGCTATTGATTTCATATGTAGCCAAGTAGTAAAACATGGAAGGCATTAATTTCATGTGTAACTAGAACATCATATTCTACGACGACTGCCTAAGTAACTACTTCAACATGCTAGATATTAATGTATTAGGTAACTAATACAGCGGCATGATGCTTAATATTGATATATAGCTAACTAAAATGTGCTAACTAAATTTGAGTTAGGAATTCTTTTTAGGCTATAAAATTCAAGCATAATAAGTTCCTTACGTGTTAATGAGATCTAATAGATTTTGAGAGTTATTGCTCTCCAGTTATATGAAATAGGATTATAAGAGGGCAAACAAAAACAGTTTCTTGTACTGTCTTCAATGTAAAATGGAGTCAGACAATGTATTTAAATAAATGAATGAAATAGTGAAACGAGGTATGTGGAAGCTTGAAATAAGGTAACAGGACAAAAAACAAGGACGTTTCGGCATAAAGCCTTCCTCAGCCAACAATAGAAATGAAAATATAACAAAGAAAAGAACACAGTAGAAAACTCAAGCAGTATTCATTCGTCTCTCCGGAAGTGGGAAAACAGGAAGCGAGAGAATATAAATATTGACACTGTGAAAAATAAAGTCCACAATAAAGCCTTTAAAAACCCCACCAAGCCAGGACTATCAAAATTGTTAAGATTATGTACAAAGTAAACAAAACACATCTCTATTTATTTGAATCAATAACAAATCTTATCAAAATTATTTTGGGTTTATTTTAAAGTAAAACTTTAAAACTTTTATTTCTCCTTTTTTAAAAAAAAAAAAGCTAATTAAAAGGTAAGATATTTAATATAGGTGTCTTAACGGATGAGCTTTTTCATTCTTCAGGTTTACGCGTATTTTTTTTTTCGTGTGTCCAGGGGAAGTCCGCGAGATGGACCTGAGTGACTACATGCAGTCCAACGAATGGAGTGTCCTAGAGAATAGCGCTGTCAAGAACATCAAATATTATACATGCTGCCCTGAGCCTTATCCTGACATGACTTTCACGTACGTAACAACCCTGGCAGAGCTTCTTAAATAATTGATATCTTCACGTTTTATTAAACTTTAATACTTTCAATAACATTATTTAAATAAAATAACAACTATGTCTTATTTTTACCTTGCAGCATCTTTGAGTGGTGTTTATAGGGTAAAGGAATCGTGTAAAAATGTTGATTTTTTTTTGTGGTGTTAGGAAAATCGACCCTGGAAAAAAAACAACACAATAAATATTTTATATTACAGACTGCGGTTGAAGAGAAGAGTCGCATTCTACACTTTTATTTTAATCCTGCCATGTGGCTTGCTTTCACTGCTGACGTTAGTTATATTCTGGGTACCTCCAGAGTCTCCTGCAAAGCTACAGCTTGGTAAGAATAGTGTTGGCCAGTGGTCGGCCACAAATCGGTTCTGAATCCTGAAAAAAAAAACATGGTTCATGACAGGTTCTTGAACAGAAATTTGACTGTCAAAAATTTTTTAAATCATCCTGCTGCTGATTTTTTTTTTCTTTGGCTAATACGTTTGCGGACCACTGGCGTGCCGCTCATCTGGTATTTTATTCCCGTGTGTATCTTGACAGAGGTCCGAGTCAATGACACTGCTGAAAGCAGGCAATGCTCTTTTTTGTGTCTAAACACAAGTTTTAAGACTGTCAAATTGTAAAATGCTTGGAAATGAAAGATATCAAAATAAAAGTAATGTCCGATGATTTCGTGGATTTTAATTGAGATTCTAATTTCATTGTTACATATTTATACAAATAATTTTTAAAAAATTACATAGAGAAGAAGATTTTTTTTTTAAAGTCAGAACAGAAAACAAGAATGCGTTATTATTTAATATTTGCATATCAATTTTAATTTACTTTTCAGTCCATTTACAACTTAAAACCTGTATGTTTCTTTTGCATAAATTAACTAATTATAAGACAGTTTTGCTAGAGATCATACGATTCTCTCCGTTTATTATTCTATTATATGCCTATGATTTTCAGCATCAATTTGTTCCTTGCTATGAGATCATTATAACAGATTAAATGCTACTCTCTTCTCCACCAGGTATGAACATATTTCTTGCCTTCTTCGTTCTCTTGTTACTCTTAGCTGATTTCACTCCAAGGGCAGCCACCTCTATACCATTGATTGGTAATGTAGCAATACCGTTGTGCTAGTATATAGAATTTCATGGAAACATCTCTGTCATGATAATACTGCTATATAAAATTTAAAAATTGCATTAATGAATCCACGTTACTTTGATGTAAGATCACTGGTTTAAAGTAAAATTTTAAAAAAGTATTGCATTTTTTTATCATACAAAAATAAAGTTAAACGAAACTTCAAATAATCATAAAGTCATCAACACTTTATTCCTCTCTCTCCACAGGGGCGTATTTTTGCTTAAGTATGATCATGATAACCATGTCTACAGTCCTCGCTTGCGTGGTGGCCAACATGCATTTCAGAGGAGTTCGGATTAGCAGAGCTCCGAGGTGGCTTCGGTCGGTCAGTTGCTTGGAAAGATATTTATTTAGAGCTGCAGTTAGATGAACCCAGAGCTTAATCCAATCCACGTGTAACAGTTAGTCTAACAAAAGTGTGTGTGTGCGGGGGGGGGGGAGGGAGGGGGGCTTTTAATAATACAAATTTAGTTGGATTCTTACTTCAACACTTATTTAAGCACATGTACGTAAATTTGGAAGTCATAACCTTCGTTTTATGTATTGTGTGTTTAACACCAATGCAGTCCTGCGTATAAAATGATTACTGAAATTCATATTTATACATTTCAAAAATTATTAACTAGAATACGGTATACATGATATGACAGTGTGTGAACATTCACATATAATAATGAAACAGTTTCCAATACCATTAGAATTTAAGAACGTTTAAAAAAAACTAAGTTAAAACTATTTAATGATCTACCAAAAAAATTGCCCCCCTGGCACTACGTTAAAACTATGTAATTATCTGCCAGTGCGTCATTGACATCGCAGCCAAATTGTTCCAAGTCAACGAGGTTGTAGAGGAGAACAGGCTCCAACCGGTGACGCCGAGGAAGACGTGGTCCACGTACGTCACAGGAGAGAAGAGTCAGTCCGACCCGGAGACGCTGGTTGCCAGGATTCACCTCCTTAATTGTCAGACGGGATCCAGGCAGGAGATGCGAGACTACGGTGCATTTCAGGTTGGCCGAAACATGGCTTCATTTGGACACGTTACAGTCAGTTATACATGGGTCAAGTGATCACTGTAATGAGGTTAATGGAAAAAAACTGCTACAAACAACTATACCCTGAGGTTGTTTCAAAGATATCTAGGATCTAGGCTGAAGACCCAGGGATTCAATTCATAATATAAAATCAGGGAACATGGGGGTTAAAATTGGGGTCACTGGATTTCAGAAACGTTGACTTAAGGGCGTTAAAATAATACATCATTTTAAGCCATTATTGACCACTGTCCACCCAAAACAAGGACGCTTAGAATATTTTGAGTTTTGCGACCACTCTTACAGATTTTAAGTGGCAAATGCATTCATCAGTACTACAACAAAACATTTAAATAAGCATAAATTACATTTACTTAATACATAGAATACATGTTTGCTACCTAAAAATAGAAAAGGATAGGCTTGGACGCAAAACCCAGACAAAAAAAAATGTAATTTGAAAACATATTGTATTGCTTGTCTTGTCAAAGGATGTAACAAGTGACTACTGTGAGCCGTCCACTTCCACAGCCTTGCACCAGTCATCAGCCTCGGCATCCCCCAGCGACGATGTGATAGTTATTGATGAGGTTAGTGGTGGGTTCTGCTTATGTGTGAGAAATATTCAGATAGGTAGGATTTTCTCTTGTATGTCTTTTTAAAGACTCATTGATATCGAACAATTATTTCCTACACTAGATCCCAGCTATCATTAAGTACTTGCTGAAATTAAGTATCGTGTTAAAACTAATAAGAGTAATTGATGGTCTTACTCAAGTGATTGAGGGTTTTACTCAAGTAATTGATGGTCCTACTCAAGTAATTGGTGGTCTTACTCAAGTAATTGAGGGTTTTACTCAAGTAATTGATGGTCCTACTCAAGTAATTGGTGGTCTTACTCAAGTAATTGAGGGTCTTACTCAAATAATTGATGGTCTTACTCAAATATTCAATGAATATAAGTAGGGAACTTCAAGGCAACGCTTTGCGTGCCATGCAATGATATTAGTAAATCTTTATAAAGAAATATATGAAATCCTTGCAACGACGAGGGATAGACATAACAGTCAATCGTTTTGATTTATTATTAAGAAGACATTCGTTCAATTTTATCACTTTATATATATTTGTATATATATATATACATACATATATATATATATATATATATATATATATATATATATATATATAAATACGAATAAGCTTTCGTCAGCATGTAACCAGTTTAATGGCGCACAATATAACATTCCACATAAATATATATATTTGTATATATATATATATACATACATATATATATATATATATATATATATATATATATATATATATATATAAATACGAATAAGCTTTCGTCAGCATGTAACCAGTTTAATGGCGCACAATATAACATTCCACATAATTGAACTAAAAGAGCGTGTACAGTTATGTTCAAAGACGCGAAAACTAAAATTCCTTCCCTACAGGAATTTCTTTAAAAAAAATGATGGTAATTTTTGTTCTTATACACCGAAAACGAAACAATTTAATCCGATAAAAGATGTTTATATTTATATATACGAACATAAATAATTAGGCGCTGAGACTTCGTCGTAGCATGCACAAAGTCGCTCTATGTGCCTACGTTTTTCACCCAAGCTACAACGGGTCATGTTTTCTAATGACAAAGAATCTAATTGACCTATTTCGTATTTATTATTGTTCCAGGTGAGCGCCATACGAGAGTTGATGGATGAAGAACTTACGTACAGAGAAAGTCAAGTTGAGAACAAGAAGACCATTCGCGAATGGCGCATGATCGCATGCGTTATGGACAGAATATTCTTTACGTTTTACATCGTCATCAACATGATAGGGGTCGGGGTCATTCTTTTAAAAAGCTACTTTTCGTGAGAACCACTCGTTATACGGACAAATCGTTATATTATCCATCGCCATATCCTGATACAGTCAAATACGTTATATTATTTGGTGTTAAATTCTGATATAGACAAATGCGTAATAATATTCGGTGTTAAATCCTGATGCAGGTCCATTCTTTCAGCAATTCTGTGTTGACCCTGCCATAGAAAAATTTGCTTTGATATTCTGTGTCAACTCCGGAATACACACTCTGATATGGGGGTGATGTCTCCAGATACGGTCAAATTCGTTCTGCTGTTCGGTGTTGTTCGCTTCATAAAAAATTTCATGACATGCTGCTTTTATTTTATTTGCAACCTGCTTATTGGGTGAAAGTCATGACATGCAACACTAGATGACATATGACATACAACACAGAATGAATTATGACATGCACCGCCGGAGGAATCCTCCACTACAACGTCAGATGAATCATGACAGAAAATGAATTATGTTATGTTAGAAGTTGTGATGGACTTTTAAAAATGTTTGCTTAAAAATACAATAACGTAATCGCTATTATTTTCAAGTATGCTCTATTACGAGGACACGCTGCCTGCTCAAGCCGCTATATGCTTATCAATTCATATAAAAAAAACTCGGATAAAGTTAATGATAAAAAACTATTTAACGTTAATATTTTCAACTGGTTAATTATTTCTTTGAAATGCCAAACACTTCTTGTCTCTATTGTTTTGTGAATCACTGAAATCCAACCATTTCATATCTTTAAAAAGTAACATTGCGAAGATAGTATTTTAACTTGTAAAATGCCAAATACCATTTTGTGAATGTTTTAAGTAATGCTCTAACAAAGTTGTACTATTCATTTGATGTGAATTGAATCATTAAAGGTGATTTAAACTTGGCAAGAAATTTAACTTACACAAATAAGGTAAGTAAGAATATATAATTTAAAAATGTATATCTATATAAACATTATACTTGAGCTGTTCAAAGAACTGAATGGGTTCGATTTTCAGTAGTTGTGCTTAGATGAGAATATCATGAAGCTGTCATTTTACAGACTTCTCTGCAATGGTTGTTTTGCCTTTGTCAATTTCTCTGTTACTCCCCCCTGTGAATTGAACAGTTTTCATACCTAATTACTCACACTTTGACCAGAATAGGCTTTGTCATTTCTAAGACCGGAAAACGTCATAGCGTACTATTTTTAGAAGGTCCGCGGACAAATATTGCTTAAAACATGGCAGCTTATAGTGTGTTTCAGCATAGCGTTCGGGCGATCCTTGTATCTAGAGTTACTGTTACATATGACGTTCACGCAATGAAGTCGCATTTGAGAAAACAGAAGTAAAAAAAAAAAAAGGTGTAAAATATTTCGTAAAATAGAGTTGTAAACAAGTTTCAGGGGACACTCCGCTAACATAGTAATACTGAACAGTGTTGACATTTTGTCCGCGCTGTGTACCCGGATGATCAGTAATGGTGACATCATTTCTATTAATAGATTTCCGCCATTAAAAGACAAGCCCTATATACCCAGCTGAACGCTTTATCAGACCCAAGTATCAACACGGTAGACCACAATTTACCCATAACACAAAATTCAATGAAGTTGGAAAAGGGAAAAAGTTACAGTAAAAATATGCCAGCATTTAGAACGCCGACATGCGCTAGTCAACTATGCATGGCTCCGACTGTCACGTATTCCTAGTATTGTATATGAAGAAGCGTTAGGCAGTCGTAGTTGGAAATGGATCTCTTGGGCGGATGAAAAAGTATTCCTAGTGGACCATTACATTTGCTCGTGTGTAAGGGGTCGTGAAAAGGGCCGGGAAGGGGGTTGGTGTCGAGTTAAAAAAAAGATGATAGAACAATGCCTAGAGTAATTTTATAAGACAACGCCATGTAACAAGTCCACGCTGTCTACAGGTAAGGCTGTTTGTGAGTTCCTAGTGAGTGCCCATACCGATACACTCAAGAACAGCTAGCGAGATGTGAACATACAGATGATTGAGACACAAACAAACCAGTGTTGAGACAATTGTCAACTTTACAGCTGACGCCCTCATCAGTACGACAAATAGCATTAACATCAATGAAATGTTTAAATAAAATACTTATATCCGATCTGTAACTAAAAAAAAAAATGACAATAAACGGAAAAAAACAATAATAACAATGGGCACAAGTCCCTAACGGAAACCAAAATCAGAAGATCTGAAAGGAAGTGTGTGGAAGTAGAGTGTAAAACCCAAACAGGAAACGATGTTGAAGCTATTTAACATTCCAGATGTTTAAAAATTGTCTTTTGAGCTATGCCAAATGCAGCTTGGGTTACATTGCGTTACCTACACATAATATTTGTGTTCCATTAATCTACTTAAAAGCTTTATTTTCTCCCCAACTCTCTGATAATCACACCCAGCAGTACATGCAACGCAAAGTATGACACTTGCGCCAAAGTATGGCACTTGCGCCAAAGCGTGAGGCGTAAAGTTTTGGCATTAGATGACTTGAACTGAACGAGATTTATGGAATATTTTGCGGGAATTTTTTTAATGAATTTCGATGAATTAAAGTAGAGACGAGAACTTGGATGTTTTCGAAGATGGACAACAGCAATACTGACTGAGCCTGTGAGGCTAAATAATCATTTGTTTAAATCAGGTGATGTGACATTTTAGCATATATGCTTAAAGTACTTAAACATTGTGTGTCGCTATCAAATAATTTAATGCACTGACGTCGCTCAGCTCATAAACCGCAAGGGCTAAATTTGGAGACTAGTTGCATGGCTAAATCCTTAAAAGATTTTTTTTTTCAAAAACGTTCTATTAGAGTTACTTTAAAAAATTCTTTTGCTCTAATGAAAACAAGAAAAATCAAATACACACAGCAAGACTGAAACAGTTTTATAGATTGCTGGCAAGCTTAACGTTCAACACATTCTGTCAATGACTGTCGTTACTTTTGATACCTGATTTAACTTAGTCAAGAGATTAAGGGTTTAAAAAAAACTCTGTCAACAGAAAGAAACTGATTATCGGTTTTCTAAAAATAGTGTATTGAAATTTGTATTTTAAAATGAATATTTACTCCTCGGCTGAAATCTCCCTGCTGGTCATTTTGGTTATCTCGCGCATAGGGCACCACAGAAAGATTTTAAAAGTGTTGAAAAAATATCGTGTTTTTTTTTATTTTAAAAAAGATCATTGGAGTCTAGACCTTATATTTGTTTTCCTATACTTTTTATTGGCGTTCTCATACTTAGTGGGCATATCAATATTTACATTATATTACGTTTCATGGAATCGTTCCGTCTACGCGAGACGATAAAGTGGCCGTTTAAACTTCATCGAATGGTTTCAGAGAGCGATACCGGAATAACAGTCTCGGCTGCATTTCTTGCAGGAGAACCTTTAACCTTCTGGTTAACGTTGGGAATCCGTAATGCTCCTTTTGTTGCTAGGGGTTCGTTTCGCCTGTTTAATTCCTTCACGCGCTGCTGTTTGCCGGCTGGAACAGTGCTCAGAGATGATCTCCTATTCGTTACTTTCTATGTTGGTTTCCCTAATCTTCCTTTTATATAGCAACTAGCATATAAAAAAAAAAAACTTGAATCAAATAGTTTACAATGTGTGATAGATGGACGTCACGCGGTACGTTGTTTCCCTTCTTACGACTTCAGGCATATGCTTAGATGATGTGCGCTTTAAATTTGTTCTTCTAAGACCAAAACATCGACACGCCGGGTTCAGCAAATAATGAATCACTGATCTGCTCTTTTCTAATATTTTATGAGCTCTCCCTTTAACATAAGGCACTACATTATGAGCATAACACATTCGCTTTACTGTTTCCAGCCATCTTGGCCAAGTCTTGCCATGTGATCGAATGTGCACGGGGGAGAGGATGAGACTGACGAATGGAGTAACTCCCCCTCACTTTAAACAAAATACAAGTCAAGGCTACTCCTGCTCAAGTTGAAGATTGCCCTGGTCATCTTCGCGTGCTAAGGACGAACGACAATCAACTTTGTGAATCTATGAACACATAAAAAAAGCAAAGAAATGGTGTTTTTAATTTATACAAAAAAATCATTTCATTTTATTTAACAAAGATTTAACATTCGAACGGCAATACATACTTTTTATGAGAAGTAGTTAATGATACAACTCCTTTTGCGATAAAAGTAAATCGAATCAATTACGGCCCGAAACTTACATTTGAACTGGATAAGTTATAAATAAAATAATAAATATACATTTTCAAAAAACAATCTTTGCAGCTAATTCAATTGCTCAACAATTTAATCTAGTTCTTTCTACGTGTAATAAAGGACATGCTAAACACGGTTTAGAATTTAAGATAACATTTTTTATTTTGCTATAAAAAAACAAGAACACATTTTTGGAGGTCAAAGGTCAGGCTAGCAAGGAAAAACGCAATAAAATCAATTGCAGTTTCATCACAACCTCGAGCTCACCATAATCGCTCTTTAAATTACCTCCCTTTTCACCGGAGCAAGCTCTAATCTAAGGGTTAGCTAATTTTTTTTTTGTACAGGGCTCCTCAAACGCCGTCTTTGGTCCCTATTTGAATCCCACGGTGTTTTCAGCCTCAAAGTGGGGTCATGTGGTTGAAATAGATCCTCTGTTAATATTTCAATCGTCAAATGTCGCTACCCTTAGGGAAAAAAAAACAACAACTTTTAATAGCACTGACTCCCTTGTTACGCTGGTGAAGATACAGAAACCATTAGGTAAGGCTTGACAGTCAAATTTGTGCATACATGACGAACACCGTCATTCACAAATGAGTTTCTTAGAATCTAAATTGTTCAAAACTCTTTGTCTAAAAGATATTCATACTACACATTTCTGCGTGTGTCTAGACCTAATTGAATATTGATATATCAATTAATGAATCTAAAGGACAAATGTTAATCATATATCTTTCAGACCAAACCTGTTTGAACCAAAACTTGGGTCATAGACATCTGCAAGTTGGCGTAACATCCTGATGGCTTGTGAGAAAAGCTCACGCAGAAATCAGAAATCAGATAATAAATTTTAATTGTAAAAGCCTGGACTATTTTTTTAGCAGCACATTGGCGAACATGTAAAATTGGGTAGAGATCTTAGAACGTCCAAACAAGGAGGTTGTATGAATCAATTGTCTACTGGTATTTATACAATTTGAGAAACATAATTATATTCTTTATTCGGTTATCACTGATTAACTATTTCTAATCGATTCTATGAACGGGAGATGTATTATTCACTCATTCACGTATTGTATGTCAAGTTATTGGAGTAAAAAAAAATGTGATGTGTGTGAAGGCCTTGAGCTTGACATCTTGATTGAGCAACTGGTGGTGTATGTGACAGTAACATACTTAAACCGTAGCCAATGAGAAGAAGAAAGATCACAATGAAGTTATAATGAATGCCAGACGCTACGTCGGTGCCCAAAGGTTACAAAAAAATAATAAAAACCATAAGGATTCGAAGGTTTCCATTAACGATGTTTCAAAGGGAAGAAATACTTTTATTAAAAATGCTTAATGCTGATTGTTACTTTTCATTAGTAATATTTCATATCCAAGGGTTACTTTCCATTTGCTATACTTTGTATTGAAGAGTTACTGTTCATTAGCTATACTTTGTATTGACGAGTTACTGTTCATTAGGTATACTTTGTATTGAAGAGTTACTGTTCATAAGTTTTACTTTGTATTGAATAGTTACTTTCCATTAGCTTTACTTTTTATTGAAGAGTTACTTTCCATTAGCTTTACTTTTTATTGAAGAGTTACTTTCCATTAGCTATACTTTTTATTGAAGAGTTACTTTCCATTAGCTATACTTTGTATTGAAGAGTTACTTTCCATTAGCTT